TAAAGCTTCGCACATATTTTGTTCACCTTTTTTTTTTTAAAGAAAAAACCAGTGCTAGTAAACTACACCCCAGTTTTATAAACATATATAAGTCTTATCAATATTAATGTGATGTGTATGTTGGCGGTACTTTGACTGTTGGCGAGAGGTGCTTGTTTTGTACAGAATTGTTCTACCTTTATTGTTGTGTTTGTTTGTAAACGTGTCACCTGCAACAAAGTCAAAGTATGGTTCCGGTGTAAACGTTAATGAGAAGTATACATTTTGTAAAACAAAGTTTAAAGTACTGTAAAATATTTCTAAAAAAGGAGAAAATTAAAGGCTTTTCTAGTAACTCTGTTTTCTGGTCTTTTCTCGTCCCACAACATGGAGCACGTTTCTATGCACCAGATAGGAATTTTTTAGCTCTTACTCGCGTTGGGAGTTACAATCATCTAATGTAAAAATGTCCTTCCAATTTTTCACTCCCACAGACTTTTTATCATAATAGCAATTACCTGGCTCCATGGAAAGCTGTAAACTAAGAAGTTCTAATCTAGAGCAGCGGATCCCAACCTGTGGTTCGGCATTGCAAGTGGGCCGCAAAATAATCTTTTTTTTGTACAGGCTAAAGACACAAACGTGGAAATAACAATAACATATAGGAGATGACATTCCCATCTCAGGCAAAAACCGAAGAAATAAACATTCAGTCAGTAGGATCACTTCAATGTTTCACAAACACAAATACCACCAAAAACACAACATGGCAAGCCTATTTATTCTTTTAATCCCACTCTTTGTTAGAGCTCATTATTTCCCATTTCATGGCGTGTTCAGCCTTTGATTTTTTTTTTTGTTGTGGCAATTTTTAAATTGTATTTTTAATCTACTCTTCTCCTTGATTGACTTAAAAAAAAATATATATTTTAGTCAGAATAGTATTTATTAACTGTGTGCGGTCTTCAACTAAAAGCCCAAATGCAATATTGAAGGGTGTAAATTCAATATTTACCGCCAAATAATTTGCAAAACATTATGATTTGTGTGGAAACAGATTTTTTTTATTATTTGAACCTCCTTTCCTTTCTCGATCCTCCTTAGCAACGGTCATTACAGTCCTTTACAGCGGTCTGTTCTACTGGGTTTAAAACGTGTCGCATGTTCTGAATTGACCAATCAGAACTTTATTTAGCCTCCGTATTGTTTACGGTTGTATGGAAGCCCATTTCCGCCACTTGAAAAAAATAAAATAACCATGGAAAGTCATGAGATAAAAAAAAAAGTCATGAGATAAGAAGTGTGCATGCGCTGCAGTGGAGCTGTCTTCAAAGGTCCCTTCATCACCTTGCTGCTCTCCACCATGCAAATGGCATCTAGTCCTAAATAAGGTAACTATTACAGGTGACTTTTGTAAATGTTAGATCTTACATATAGCCTATATGCAGCTAAACTACAACAATGCCAGTTTTATATAAGCTTTGACCATTACCATGTTATGAACTATAATATATATGCTTAGTTTGGTGGGTAACGTTCACGGTTAGAGTTATGGTAGCAACTCACAGCACAGTATGCAAATCCCTGGCGGCACCCCTGGCATACTGTGCGTGAGTTGCTAGCCTAGACGTATACGCCGTGAACGTTAACACAAAACTATTAGGACATATATATTTTAGTTCATACAGGTAATGTCAAAGCTGATATAAACTGCATTGTTGTAGTTTAGCTGCATATAGGCATATTAACATCTTTAAAAAGTCCCCTGTAATAGTGAGGCTATATGTAAGATCTAACATTTACAAAAGTCACCTGTAATAGTTACCTTATTTAGGACTAGATGCCATTTGCATGGTGGAGAGCAGCAAGGTGATGAAGGGACCTTTGAAGACAGCTCCACTGCAGCGCATGCACACTTCTTATCTCATGACTTTTTTTTTTATCTCATGACTTTCCATGGTTATTTTATTTTTTTCAAGTGGCGGAAATGGGCTTCCATACAACCGTAAACAATACGGAGGCTAAATAAAGTTCTGATTGGTCAATTCAGAACATGCGACACGTTTTAAACCCAGTAGAACAGACCGCTGTAAAGGACTGTAATGACCGTTGCTAAGGAGGATCGAGAAAGGAAAGGAGGTTCAAATAATAAAAAAAATCTGTTTCCACACAAATCATAATGTTTTGCAAATTATTTGGCGGTAAATATTGAATTTACACCCTTCAATATTGCATTTGGGCTTTTAGTTGAAGACCGCACACAGTTAATAAATACTATTCTGACTAAAATATATATTTTTTTTTAAGTCAATCAAGGAGAAGAGTAGATTAAAAATACAATTTAAAAATTGCCACAACAAAAAAAAAAATCAAAGGCTGAACACGCCATGAAATGGGAAATAATGAGCTCTAACAAAGAGTGGGATTAAAAGAATAAATAGGCTTGCCATGTTGTGTTTTTGGTGGTATTTGTGTTTGTGAAACATTGAAGTGATCCTACTGACTGAATGTTTATTTCTTCGGTTTTTGCCTGAGATGGGAATGTCATCTCCTATATGTTATTGTTATTTCCACGTTTGTGTCTTTAGCCTGTACAAAAAAAAGATTATTTTGCGGCCCACTTGCAATGCCGAACCACAGGTTGGGATCCGCTGCTCTAGATTAGAACTTCTTAGTTTACAGCTTTCCATGGAGCCAGGTAATTGCTATTATGATAAAAAGTCTGTGGGAGTGAAAAATTGGAAGGACATTTTTACATTAGATGATTGTAACTCCCAACGCGAGTAAGAGTTAAAATATTTCCTATCTGGTGTATGAGAAACGTGCTCCATGTGTGGGACGAGAAAAGACAGAAAACAGAGTTACTAAGAAACAGCCTTTAATTTTCTCCCTTTTAGGAAATATTTTAAGTACTTTTAAACTTTGTTTTACAAAAATGTATACGTCTCATTAACGTTTACACCGGAAACATACTTTGACTTTGTTGCAGGTTGACACGTTTACAAAACAAACACAAAAATAAAGGTAAAGAACAATTCTGTACAAAACAAGCACCTCTCGCCAAAGGTCAAAGTGCCGCCAACAATACACATCACATTAATATTGATAAGCTTATATATGTTTGAATAAAACTGGGGTAGTTGACAGCACTGGTTTTTTCTTTAAAAAAAAAAAAAGGGAACAAAATAGTGGACAGCTTTAAAATACTAAATAACCCAGACGGTGTAAACTACAGGGCCCGACTGTGGTGTTTTAAATCCTCACATGCACAACTCACAAAATATAAGACTGATAGGAGGCGTTAAAAACAGGTTTCATAGTGACAGCGTGGCAGAGTCCAGTCTGAATAAATGATCATTCCTGGAGCTTTTAGGATTATAGTGAGAAGAGTTTCCTGCTCCTCTGGTAGAAGATGGAAATATGGCAGCTGTTGGGTTATGGCTTGTGTTCGCTCCTTCAATCGTCCAGTCAGAAGCTCGTCTGCTGGCTTTGGACACGCTGTCCGCAGCTGTCGAGTCAAATAATTAATTTTTTGGGGGGGGTGCGCAGCTCCTGGTGGTGAACAGCGTGTCAGGAGAGCGACCCAAGTGCCGAGAAAGACTCTGAGCCCGAGCTCCATGTGGGACAGAGGCGTCCTCCCTTCTCCTCTCGCTACCACACCTCCGGGACGTCAAACAGCGACGTCGAGGATTCAGTCCCTAACATAAGAGGCACAGAAGGTTGAACAAATAAATAAATATACTTACAGCTTGCAAAAATTGCAAGATTACATCCAAGCTTTTGAAGAATTTTGGCTGAGTTTCCATTCCCTTCATTAATAGGTTTCGGAAAAATCATTAAATGTCTTGGCTTAATATGAAATTGAAAACTTTTAGCTCCGAAATACAATTATTCATGTGAAAAAAGGTATTTATGAATCTTTTTGTAATCACGTCAACAGGTTTTAAACAATCCACAAATATCTATTCTCTCTATACAAATGGATGATAAACAGTGCCACATTGATTATTTAAGAAAGGTATAAAAAGACAAATAATCCTGTAGTTGTGGCAGAAGAAGGAAAAACTGTTGTGAACACAAAGTGACATTCTTCTCGACCATACCCGTTTAAACTACAGTTGAAACAAGTGTTAAAAATGTCATCTAGCACCGAGTTCTTTCTAGTGCCGCTATCCCAAAGAGACCAAAATATTTGTTTATATGTTTTTGTTCCAGGCAAGCCAGACTTCGTAGAATCGATCTGAAGTTATGAGGAAAAGGGTTAGGGTTAGAGTCAGCCCGATTCAGTGTGAAGCCCCTCAGTCTCACCTTTAGACTTGTTCTTGTTCTTTTGCCCTTTCTTCCCCTGGGATGTTGGGGCTTGTTGCCAGGTGACCGTCCCTTCAGTATCGTTGCCTTCAGGACTTCCTTCTTCTTCCTCCCCCTCCTCCTCCTCCTCTTCCTGTTCTTCCTGTTCTTCCTGTTCTTCCTCCTCCTCCTCCTCCTCCTCCTCAGGGATTGGACTCGACCCCGCTGAGTCTGATGCATCTCTGTAGGGCGCAGCAACCATTAAGAGACTTTAATCACCACAAACAGAACATTAACACCTTAAATGATTAACCCCAACTTCACTTACCCCGTCTTTAGCCATCCTTCTGAGGTCTTGCTCTCGATGGCGTTTGCGTTTCCACTTTTGTCTAAAAATCACAACAACAACCACCACTGCATGAGAGCCTTCATTTAAATTAACAAGAAATGATACACATTTACGGCACATTTCCACTGCAGGGCCTCGCACGGCTTAGTACGGTATAGTTGGGCCTTGGTAGTCCAGGCTCACTTTATGCTGCGTTTCCATTGCAGTTTAGTAACTGGGGCAGTAACTATAGTAACGCAGTGTAGGCAGAGCAGTGACGTCATCTTCAATGCGAAACACAAAACCAAGCCGTTAGCTGTTAGCCCTCAGAGCTCACAGCTCCTCATATCTGTTCAGAAACTAGACAAAAGTTAAACAAGTCCAAACCACAGATGGTCTGTGTCATGGCGAATACAGTCGCTGGTTTATTTATGTCTGTAGGCCGTTGTTGTGAGTGTGGACGGTCGGAGCATTTACAACGTTAGCTTAGCCGATCTCCATTCAGAAAACACGCATTTAAAAAAAGGTTTTTCGCCTGCCGTCTGTCTGCAGACTTGTCAAAGCATTAATTCATGGTTTTTACTAACCGGTATCAGTATGTTGTTACTTCGGCATCATTTTGAAACGTGTATTACAATTAAATCACGGTCAAATATGTTAATCTTGTTGTAGTTGCACAGCGATTCTCTCACTAGTTTAGCATACTCAGCCCGGTTGTTGGCCCGGAAAGAACCTCGATTTTGGAGAGCCAGAAAATTGTGAAAAAGTAC